CACATGAAGCAGAGGTAAATCTCTCTGCCAGCCTGATAAACTACAGCAGCCATACACATCACCACCGAGTGCTGGCAGCCGTGCACGTAAAGCTGGCTGGTACCTCGGAGAGGTCAGATAGTGTTCTCTGCCCAAACAGCCTTGCACGCTTGCGCTGAGAAGGTTGACACGTATACGCCAGATTCCTTGCCAAGATGTGTCTATGTTTCACAGCAATGCTGCTGACTGCTACAGAGGATGCTCCCCAGACGTGGTCGTCCTGCTAAGAGGAAAGCCCTTCTAGGGATCTAATGATACTTGGGTCATGTGTGCATTGGAGTATGTCCAGCCAACGGTTATCTGTACCAAAGTGGCAAAATAGACCCCACTCTCTTGGGGCTGTGGCTCTGCCACCGTGTCCTGGGGTCAGGTGGGAATGAACCAGTGGTGCTAGAGAAGCAGTAGGGATGGGGTCAGACAGCTGCTGCTGTATCCTCTGGTGTCCCCAGTGTCCTGCTGGCTGCAGTGGCACTCGCAGAAGGGCTCTGACCCACCCCTTGTGCGTTGCACTGGGCTCTGACTTTAAGCCTCTCTGCATGTGAGCTGTCAGACGAAGCAGGAGAAACCTTGGGCTTTCCCAAAGGGCAGGCACAAAGCACTTCATGCTTCTTGGTCTGCAAGCCTGGCTGGGTTCGGTGATCTTGCATTATCATCCCCTCTGTGGAGGCCAACACCATATCTGGGATTTAATTTAAGATCGTGTTCAGGACCACAGCTGCCCACTGGCTGGGTGGCTGGGTAATTCACTTCTCTTGGTACATCGCTTAAGAAGGGATACAAGACGGGACTCACTTGTGACCCGATGAAGACAATGGCTTTACAATAAGGAATATTATCAGAGTGCTCTTTGTATATCCTCCCTTTGATAAATGCCATACATGTCCACTGAAAACCCGGAGCTAACTCTGGCTGGCTACACAGCTGCCGTGCAGAACAGTCTCCCGTTAGAAGTGCCACTGGTGGCGTGGGCAGCGGTCCTTCGGTCAGGAAAAGGTGATATTCAGCTTGTACAGCTGAATGGATGGAGGTATTGAGGGAGGCTGTATTCATCATTGCCTGCTACACACATTTTAGAAAACTTGCAGTTTTCCCATAGAAAAATCACTTTGAAAATAAAGATGCTGTTGTTAAATACACATTTATATAATGTTTTTGTCTCCTCCCCAAAATGCTGCCTCTTACATTGCCCGCTGCATGGCTGTGCTCCAAGCTCTCCTCAGTGAGAGTGCTTTTAATCAGAGGTCACTCAATCAACACATAGGGGAAGCGACCGTGACCCAGATATACCCAGGGATAAGGCAGAGACCATCAGGACTCCTTCCTATTTTGCTGCCCACTGTTTAAGCTGAACATTGATCCTCCATGACTGTAGGATTAAGGTCTGTGTAGACATGAGGATCAGAGCGATGCCCACACAGGAGGGTTTGTCATCGCTGATATCTTTATGGAATTTGAATTCATTTTCTGAGAGTTACTCTTGCACTGTCACAAAAGCCAGAGCAGCCAAAAGATGACAGGGGTTTGCTAGGAGGAGCTCAGCGCTTGCCCAGGATCAGGGCTGCGCTGGGGACGGCTGCAGGAACTCCTCAGGAACGTGCCTGGTGGGAGAAGCATGATCCTTGGCCGTGTGCCACAGCGTGACACGGAGAGCCACCGTCTCTGTCCTCACGTGGACCTCTCAGCCAAGTTCCTCCATCCCAGTCCAGCCACCCACGGGGTAGTGAGTTGTGGAGGTCCTGGCCTGAGCAAGGGGTTGGACAACACGATTGCTGGTGCTGCCCTGGTCACAGGGCCGATACTGAAGCTACGTCCTCTGCGCAACCCCACCAGACCTGCCTTCCTCTCTTGCTGCTGCTTCTCTTGGTTAGGAGTCATTGACCCGTAGCAGAATGTCCACCTCTGGGCAGTGACGAATCTTTGTCACGGACCTATGAAATGTCACCAAAGGTGACACCAAATGTGATTTTTAGTATTAACATAGGTCTTTTTTAATCCTGTTCCAAGAGCAGGCTGCCAGAGTTTCTCATTTTAAAATGCAGAAGCGAGCAACAGGCCTGTTTGTAAATCAGCCCCGACTGTAAATCCAGTGACCGGTTGAACGGCAGCTCTGTGGGACCAGGAATAACTTCCCCCACGGGCCTGTATTCTCCACGGGGACTGCCTCCCCCTCAGAGGGAATTCCCGTGGATAAAGTGGCACATATGTCTGCTCTAACTCTGCAAATTTTGGGTGTATCAAGTTTCGGAAATCTTAAAAGTGGAATCTAAGTCCTGGCTTTATTCTTAATTTCCTACCAGCTCGCAACGCTTTGCTTTAACTAAACTACAGCCTCCAAGAGCTGGAAATGACAAATATGTCTGTAATTGATTATTTAAGACAGTACAATTATGCTTTGAAGCAGACACATTGGGAAATTTTAACGTAGCTGCCCGGTGCTGATGCATGAGGAATGCTCTGCCGTGATAATACGACTGCTCTTTAATCGCCCTCAGACAATTCTCCCCCCTCAGCGACACCTTCTCTTGCTTCAATTGTTATCGCCGGCCTTGCGGAGGGTGGCCCTGCAGATTACGCTGGTGCTGCGTGTGCTCATCTCCCTCTTCAGCCCCCCACCTCTGCCCGATGTCCCCGGGGGGGAACTGCAGAGCAACAACCAGAGCGGGGATATCTCCGAGCGTTCAAATACCCAAATATTGCAATCAAATGCAGAAGAATTTACAGGCAAAACCCAGGATATCCTCTAGCATAATTGCTGATAATTTTCTGATCTCAATTAAACACAAAATCAGACAAATGCACCAAGACAGCTGTTACTCTTACTAAGCTAGGGGCAGGAGTAATTAACAGGAACCACAAGGCAAGTTGTCTCAGCGCTGTAAACACCTGGGGTCCTGCGCTGAACGTGAGAAACAAGATCGAGCGCGCCTTTCCAGGAGCACGGGGAGCCAAGTATTCCCACTTCCACAGCCTGCCTCCTGCAGGCATCCC